CACCACGTTCGAGATCCAGTTCGGGTAAAACAACTCATGTATCTCCATTCGAGAAAGATGCATATCGTATATGAAAATAAATATTTCACTAACAAATGTAATTATCAAATAACAAATTAGTATACGTGCAGTACTATAATTGTTCTTCCTAACTAATTATAGAGGGAAAATACAATGAACAACAATATATGGACATAGGAAATTTAGAAATGTGGGTTACACTTACCCTTCATCACGACCTCGCGCAGCAGCATAACTCAATAATTTCTTCTATTTTGGAGTCAATTGAATTGTCTCACTGTCCCTAGATACCCATGAAGAGTAGTAATATGCTACGGGGTTTTTGCTCCTAGTACCTCTTCTGAGTTGTCCCACCACATCCTTCCCTTTACCATATAAATTTTATAGGGAAAATTCAGGGATTGAACAACTGGGAGTTTATTGAACTGCTCCTAGGTTGTCCTCCAAAGCCATGCCCACAGCCTCATTCAACTCTGTCCGCTTATCCTCATTTAGTAAGTCATTGCTGGTGGGAGTAAAGCGGGCATCCTCTTTATCGCCAAATTCTGTTTCCTCACCTGTGTGAACAGAATAGTAAAATGTTTCCCTCTCAACTTCATGTTCATAATTTTGTGGCTCATCTTTCTCCTCAACAGACGTTCCCCCATCTACTCTAGAAACAGTTGCTTTTCTTCCAGCCCTTTTTGACTTTTTTCTCACCAAACTCTCCATTTGTTTGACCTTCCTCTTCAATATTTTCCTGTTTTCTGCTTCTTTTTCCATTTCTTTCTGAATATCTTTAACGCAATGCTGCATATAAAATTGTAATTGGTTGTCACTGATCAATTGTATATTAACAATTTCATTCATACTCATTAACCGTAAAGTAATATATCGTCACCTCAACCTCACTTTCCGAACAACTACTATTGTCTTTTTCACCTCCCGACCATGATAATGATAGAGAATGTGACACATTCGCCTTAAAAGGAATGAATTGTTTCATATAAATATTTTTAACCAAATGTACTTAAGTAACGAAATGGTATCATAAAATATAACAAAAATGGGAACTTGAAAATACTTTTTAAATTTACTGTAATACCTGACCTAATCCAAAACCTCCCATTTTCAGCTCCCATTTTAAGCGTTCGCATACAAGGGCAGTGTAATGACTCGCTCCACTACATGGTGTGATATTGTTCGCTTTGGGCCTGGGCCTGCACGGTTTTGCTCTTGGGTTTTACCCAGGCCAAAAGGTCTCATACCAATTGGAGATAACACCACCACATATAAGTACTTCACCTTTTTCTTACCCAGGCGATGTGGGATTATATACCCATAACTCGCCCGGTGTGGTAGCCTGTTAGTGTCTCGCACCAGCCCACGACACACCCACCCACAGGGTTATCACAGTCCACCCCCCTTGGAGGCCCGATGTCCCCGTCGGCACACTTCTGGCTGGATCAAACTCTAATACCATTTATAACGACCCACTCCACCACATGGTATGATATTGTCCGCTTTGGGCCTGAGCTTGCACGGTTTTGCTATTGGGTTTTACCCCAAAACGCCCCATACCAATTGGAGATAACACCACCACATATAAACACTTCACCTTTCCCTTACCCATGCGGTGTGGGATTGTATACCCGTAACTTGCCCAATGTGGTAGCCTGTCAGTGTCTCGCAGCCGTCCACGGCATACCCGCCGACAGGGTCATCACAGGCAGTGTCCCAAAAACCAAGGCTAGTTTTATCACCGGTAGTGGGATAACAAGGGTATTGCACTTTACACCTCATGACATATAGAAGTTGAATTAAATTGCAGTGTGTTTAAACAGTCATGATTCATACTAATGACATAAATAATAAAATATTTTACAAAATTTAAGTAGGTTATATTATTTACCTGCAGGAAGAGCACGCATCCAGTATACTTATGCTTTATTTTTCCACTTTCTTCACTTTCACCTAAGTGATCCATTAAAGTTTGAAGCACATATGTGCATCAGTTGTAAGACTTTATTTCATTCACATTATGAACAACCTTTAATTCTTTTACATGTGCACTGTAATGTCCATTAGGTGTTAGAAAAGTGACACATGTAAAAAGCACAAAGGCTCTTTTGAAATCTTCGCCTGCTCAGATTGTTCTACCATTTCCATTAAAGCATTTACATGCAAGCCATTGCAATATCCACCTTCACTTATCCAATTGGCATCAAATTGTTGAGATGTAGGCACTACAGTGATTACAGCGGGTAAGCCGAGGATGTTGTGGACTTCAATTACATTAATTGGGAGATATTGATTATTATTAAATTTAATGTGCCGTTTCTCTTACTCCAAATGCTGAATGATGTAGTCAAAGAGTGGGGTAGATAAATGCTCACATTGTAGGTTCAGCGAATTGCCAAAACCTATATCTGCAACATCCCTCATCTTTTCCTCTCCAAGTTTGGATACTGTGTTAATGAATTTAGAGATTGAGCATTTGTTTCACCCAGTTTTAAGTGCATTCTTATGATGTGGATATTATTTACAATGCTTCAATAATAGTTCTAGGATGATCCCTTAGTTTCACCCATGAACTAGATGTTAGAAGGCATGCTCCACATGTCATATCCGAATTTTTATTTAGTTCTCTAATTTCTATGATACTCTTATTAAGGTGAATTAATTTTTTTTTTTAAAAGTGTCTATTTAGTTTTGTTGATTAAGTAAATAAATAAAGCTTCCAAATGAGGCATTGCTAGTAGTTGCATATAGTGTGTTGTGTATATATATTTAAAGAGAAGGAAATGACATCCACGTGACATGTGTGAGTGTAGGAGGATATAGGTGTGGTAAGCTGAATATTAAATGAAATGTGTATGTGTGTAATAGGTTGATGCTGGAGGATTAAGTGGTGAAGGTGGGTTTAAAGATTTAGTTAACATATTATTTGGTTAAATACAAGCTTATGGGGGCAGTCTTGTGATTTACCACAATATATATATATATCTTGTTATATTAAAATCATAACAAAGTTTCTCCAGGAAACTTACTAAAGACAGTGGTATGTGCATACGTGCACACGTGCATTTGTTGCCAGCACAAAACCCACATACACAACATTTAGGCAAATAAAATTTGTTTCCTATAGAAACTGGTTTGAGGCGGTGTAAAAAAAAAAAAAAAAAAGGTTAAGACTTGTTGGGTACACTGATAGGAGAAACAAAAGAAGAAATAGAAACAGAGGGTTTTCGGCTGTAGAAGAAGAAAAGAGAAGAAAGAAAGAAAAAGAAAATCAGCAGCTTGGGACAACCGGAAAGAAAAGGGAAAAGGGTTTCAGAGAGAAAAATTATTGGGTGCAGGTAGAGTGTTGTATTTTAGATTTTGTTTATTAGAAGTTTTTCATTAAAAAATTTAGGAATTGATTTTTTGAGTCCTTCTTGAATAAATTCCATATATGTTATTATCTACTCTTAATTGAATTATTAATCTCTATGAAAGAATATAAATCTTGCTGGGTATGTATAAATTAGATGTATGGATTCCTTTAAAATATTTTTAATTACTATAAAGGAAGAGATTAAGAAGTTGTCTTGGAAGCTCTGTGTGTGAAAAGTTTTATATGAAGAGAAAACAAGATTATAATTTTCTGTGGTCATTGTTTTGAACCCATAAAAGGAACCAAAAAATGAAGGTCATTGGGAGGTAGCGGCTGGAGAGGGAATGAGGAGGAAAGAGATAGAAAAGGAGAAAAGAAGAAAAAAATGATTAGGTGGGTTTCTTTTTGGAATAGTAGTATTAAAGGTACATAGGTTTGTATTTCAATTTTTTCTATTATTATGATTTTTGACTAAATTCAAAAGTTATATTATACAAATTATTACCATGATTATTTCAATTGAAATATTAAGTTGGAATTTAATACAGATATGTGTGATCAAAATTTTAGTTACAATTGTGTACAAAGGTTGGGATATTATTATGAAGGTTATGATGAGTATTATTTATTTCTTTTTAGAAATGAATATGACGTGATTACAATTTTTTTTAGGCAAGGAGAAGGAGCAAACAATTTCAGCAATACAGAAGGACAAATAAATAATTTGAAAGTAGCCAAGGTGAGTGTACTCACTGGAAGTTTATACTTGGATGTGTTTAATTGAAGTATTGAAGCTGTTTATGTGAAATGAAGATGAATTTATATAACTTGATTATATTATATAAGGTCCATACTCTGACCTGGAAGGAGAGCACTATATTAAATAAGGTTCATACTCTGGCCAAGAAGGAGAAAACTAAATATTAAATAAGGTGTATACTCTGGTCAAGAAGGAGAATATTATATTTAAATAGGTCCATAGTCTGGCCTAGAAGGAGAGTACTATATTTTAATGCCTGTAATATGTTAATGAAGTTTAATTGGAGTTATCAGATCATATTTGTTATATTTCTCTAATGTACGAGTGTTGCATTTACTGGGCTTTAAGTTCACTCATTCCATATCTATATTTTTCAGGTATCAGGTTGGGTTGGTACTGTCAGGTCTAGAGTCTTGAGTGTGACTGGGGAAAATGACAATGGAACGTCTTTTGTATAAAATGTAAATATTGTAGTAGAATTTAATATTGTGACTTGTAATTAATGTTTTAGGTTTGTTGGAATTGCATAATGGCATATAGTTTGGTTTTAATTGTAAACTTTTAAGCAGGTACTCTGATATATGATGACGTTATGTATGTATGAAGTTAATGTAGATGGTTAGATACATTCCAATTATTCAATTTATTTAGTAGTGTAAATTGGGTTGGGGTGTGTGAACTTTTGGTATCAGAGCCCAGGTTTTCTAGGTTCTGGAGGTAGTAAGAGTCTAGACTGGCAGTGGCAGTAGGAAGTGTGTCGTAAAGTCATTTATTTGACTTGATATTATAATAACAAATATATGTGGTGATTATGTATCATATATATATTTTGTTATATTTGAGATTCATTGCAGATAAAAAGTTATGGAAGGAAGAAGTGGTTATCATAGAATCGAGGAAGAAGCCTCTTATGTTCCTATTGAGGCTGAAGTAGAACAATCTATTCAGGGTGATAAAGGAATAGAACAGGAGCAGTTAACTGGTACGCAGCAAATGGAGAAGGCTATAATAGACTTGGTAGAACAAAATAAACAATTTATGACAAGTCAAATCAGAATGCAAGAACGGTTAGAGAGGTAACAGAAATGAAAGAAAGGCTCGGATAACACCTCCAAAATTTTTAGGTATTACCAAACCAGAAGAAGCAGAGGGGTGGGTAAGAAGAATGGAATCAATATTTACAGTAATGGGTGCAGCAGAAGACCAGAAAGTAAACTTAGCTACATTTATGTTAAAAAATGAAGCTACTTATTGGTGGGACATAACAAAACATTTATTGCTTACTGTAGGAGAAAAAGAGGTGATATTCTGGAATCCATTTGTTAAAGTTTTTTATGAGAAATATTTCCTTCTATTGTACAGAAAAGAGAAGGAACGGGAGTTTATTCTCCTAAAACAAGAAAGAATGTCTGTAGCCGATTATAAAGTTAAGTTTACAGCTTTATCGATGTTTGCATCTAAGTTTGTATAGAATGAAGAAAATAAATGTACAAAATTCCAAGATGGGTTAGAGGCTGCTATTAAGTCCAGAGTTTCAATTTTTGAGGAAACAAATTACAATAAACTTGTGAATAAAGCCATGATTGCCGAAAGGGATGTGAAAGAATTGCAAGAAAGAAGGGAACAATACAAAAGAAATAGATCTGAGCGATCATAATCAAGAGGAGGTGAAGGAATTTCAAGTCAGAAAAGTCAAAGGTCGCTGTATGGAAAGGGAAGGGGTAGTGAATCTCAAGGGCAGACAACAGGTATTGGAAGAGGTCAAGGGTTTTCCGAACAACAATCTGTACAACAAGGTAACTTTAGAGGACGTGGTACTGGCGGGGGTTGTTTTCAGTGCAGAAGGGAAGGTCACCAGAAGAAGGATTGTCCCGTGTTGAAAGCAGAAGAATGCTATTATTGCCATCAACTGGGTCATCGGAAGAGAGACTGTCCTATGTTAACAGGAGTGACCTCAGTGGGTAGTGTTGCTGGTTCTGGTAGAGGTTTTGCACTAGGGAGCTCGTCAAGAGGAGGTAAGGGTGTTACAAGTGGTTCACAAGCCCAGGGAAGAGTGTTTGCTATGACACTTCAGGATGCTCAAGCAACACCAGAAGTGGTGACAGGTACACTTTCTATTTTGGATAGAAATGTTATTGTGCTTATTGATCCTGGCTTCACATATTCATTTGTTGCATTGTCTATTGCTATGCATTTAGGTAGACCACTTTCATCATTAGATAGTAAATTATTTATTTCTACACCAATGAGGGAAGTGGTAATGGTTGCAAATGAGTATCGGGATTGTGTGTTGCAAATGGAAGATAGACAGTTAAAAGTGAATTTGATACCATTGAGCATACCAGATTTTGATATCATTTTGAGTATGAATTGGCTATCTGCGTATCATACTTCAATAGATTGTTTCTGGAAAGAAGTTATATTTTAGATACCAGGGGAGCCAGAATTCATATTTATCGGAGAAAGAAATGTTATTCCAAATTGTCTCATCTCAGCTATACAAACCAGAAAGTTGTTGAAGAAAGGGTGTCAGGGTTACTTGGCATATACGGTTGACATTGAAAATAAAGATGTGAAAGTAGAAGATGTACCAGTGGTAAGGGAATTCACAGATGTGTTTCTAGAAGAATTGTCGGGGTTGCTAGTGGACAGAGAGGTAGATTTTACCATTAAGTTGGTACCGGGAACAGTTCCAATTTATATTACTCCGTATCGAATGGCACCGACAGAATTAAAAGAGTTGAAAGTACAGTTGCAAGATGTATTGGATAAGGGCTTCATTTAACCTAGTATTTCACTGTGGGGTGCACCGGTGTTATTTGTTAAGAAGAAGGATTGTACTATGCGGTTATGCATTGACTACAGACAGTTAAATAAAGTAACCCTCAGAAACAAGTATCCATTACCACGAATTGATGATCTGTTTGATCAGTTGCAAGGGGCAAATATGTTTTCTAAGATTGACTTGAGGTCAGGATATCACTAGTTGAAAGTAAAGGATAGTGACATTTCTAAAACTGCTTTCCGAACTCGATATAGTCATTATGAGTTTTTGGTAATGCCTTTTGGGTTAACCAATGCTCTAGCAGTGTTTATGGATTTAATGAATCGAGTGTTTCATCTGTATGTTGACTCTTTTGTTATTGTCTTCATCGATGATATTTTGATATATTCTCAGAATGCAGATGAACATGAAAAGCATTTAAGAATTGTGCTACAGATTTTACAAGAGAAATAACTTTTTGCTAAGTTCAGCAAATGTGAGTTTTGACTTGATAAAGTAGTATTTTTGGGGCATGTGGTATCTGGGGATGGTTTTTATGTTAACCCATCAAAAGTGGAAGCAGTGGTGAAATGGGAAAGGCCTACTAATGTGAAAGAAGTCAGAAGTTTTCTGGGATTAGCAAGTTATGACAGGAGGTTCATCCAAGGGTTTTTTAGTATTGCATTGCCATTAACGAAGTTGACCCCGAAGGAAGTAAAGTTTGTGTGGAGTGAGGAATGCCAAGGAAGTTTTGAAGAATTGAAGAAAAAGTTAACGTCAGCTCCAGTGTTAACTATTCCGTGTGGTGGCGAAGGTTTTGTGATTTATACTGATGCTTCACATTAGGGTCTGGGATGTGTTTTGATGCAGAATGGCAAGATAATTGCATATGCCTCTAGACAATTGAAGAATCATGAATTGAATTATCCTACACATGACTTGGAGTTAGCTGCTATTGTTTTTGCTTTAAAGTTGTGGAGGCATTATCTATATGGTGAAATTTGTGAAATATTCACTGATCATCAGAGTTTGAAGTATTTGTTTACAAAAAATGACTTAAATTTGAGACAGAGGCGTTGGATGGAGTTAATCAAAGATTATGATTATAATATTCACCATCATCCTGGAAAAGCCAATGTAGTAGCAGATGCTTTGAGTAGGAAGTCTTCAGGGAGACTGTAGCGACCCGAGTTTTTCTTCAACCCGATGCGTCAATGATGAACCGAAAGTTGATCCAATAACGGATCCGAGTGCGGAAGCAAAAGATGAAACTGAAGTCTTTAGAGATATAAACCATCTCTAAGACACCAATGTGACATTCCATGAAGTCACGAAGCTCAAAGAGAATGAAAGTGAAAACGAGGGTCAAAACGAGAAAAAATCGTGAACCAAGGGGCAAAATGGTCAACTCACCATTAAAAGGATAAAATTGAATTTAAACAAGTCAAATAAGGTGAAAAAAACCTAATTTATTCATTTCACAGCATTGTAAGAGGTTCTAAGAACATTGGACAAGAATCCCACAAAATGCCCTATCCCGGTCGAAGTAAAAACTGACACTACTTTTACTAAAACATGAATAACTCCTAATGTGATTGGAATCTGAGAATGGCATTGGTACCATTAGAAAGATGACTCAAAATCCATGAATTTAGGCTCAAGAATCACCCCATTTGGATTTAAAATGAAGAAGTTATGGTCATTTGAAATCAGAACATCAGTGCTGAAACTGAACTGAAGAAGTTGGGTGAAAGGGGTCATTTCGGTTGACCGAAATAACCCATCGATTGACCGAAATGAACATGCTGAGAGCAAAAATCAAGTTTTTAAGGCTTGGTTGTTTTAGTAGACCGAAGTAACCCATCGGTCGACCGAAATAAGCTTGAACAGTACTTTTAGCTATTGGAAATGGTGATTTTGAAGCTCAAACAATTTCAAAGGGGTTCGGTCAACCGAAATGGCATTTCGGTCAACCGATATGACTCAAAAATGTGCAAATGGGCCTGTTATGAACAAAAACTGAAAATAGACTTTAATTTTCATTTCGGTCGACCGATATGACTCAAAAATGTGCAAATGGGCCTGTTATGAATAAACACTGAAAATAGACTTTAATTTTCATTTGAATCCCCCATGGCATGATCAAATTACATTCTATGCTAAAGTGTGATGATGTAAACATGCACGCAAGTGTAATATAGCATTTTAAATATGTTACAATGGCCTACGGCCTCATTACATTCCATTTTCCATATTTGACATGTCAAACCTCCAAGCTAGAAACATTACATTACATAGGTAAAACTAAACATGCTAACATTTGCATGTGAACAAGAAAGCTTCCAAAGAAACTTCAATACTACAATTCACCCAAAGCATGTGCAACTCACCAATCTCGTGCCCTGTACCTGAAATATACCCCAGTAACGTAGGGGTGAGCAATATAAAGCTACTCGTAGGAAATAAGCATGCATCGACCTACGTTTTACAATTTTGCATGACTTAATCATTGTGGTTCATTCCACCTAATGTCTATGTCAAAGGTGAGACTCAGGGAGCATCCTAACTACCTAAGATCATTACTAGCATAAAACACATCCTTTATGCAATTTCAACAACACAAGAGCATGCTACACATAGCAACATGATATAACATGCTTACACAAAGCAACGAGATAGAAAAATGCTTACACGAAGCAACTAGATAGAAACATGCTTACACAAAGCAACTGGATATAGATTTTTCAAGTAATCAACTTAAAATCAAAAATGCAAAATCAACTAAATATATCAATTTAGTATAATTAGAATATCTAATACCACACATCAAGACATAGGTTCTCTAGACTATCAACTAGAAATTTAAAAATGTGAGATCAACTAAATATAACAATTTAGTATAGATGTACCTAACAACATCAAATCACCAATAGCCAAAACCACAAGTCACAATATAAACAAGATTGCAAACTTGGAATTAAATGCGAAAACAAATAGTGGAAGACTTGGACATCACGCTCGGAATTCTGCCGAGACCTCAATGGTTATTCCCGTCACTAACCCACAGGGAAAACCACCCTAAATGGGCACTATCTCAATTGGGGAGAACTCATACCTCCCGCACTAGAGCCAAACTCTAGCCATGTCACATGTAACAACAATGTTCCAAGAGAATCCAAATTATACCAAATAAGTTCACAACTTATACATATTACTACTACATAGTAACAAGTTAGAAATTTAACTCACAATAGTGCATAATAAGCATTTCATTTTCATAATGCTATGAAATCACAAGTCAATAATATATTCATATTAGAAACATGTTCTCATGAATATAAATTTAACAACAATGCTTTTCAATGCTTAAAACATAATCAAGTGAATACTCAACAAGTCCAAATCCATGATCTCAACATAGAAGCAACTTCTAAAACATGATTAAATCCATGGATAAACAAGATAGAATTTTATTAAATCAAAATAATTAAACTCTCTAGATTTCAATTCGTTTCCAAATGGCCTCTATTTAATATATGTTAAAGGACAAATCATGGTCATTACATATATGCATTCAAAAGCTTAATTAGGCCAATGAAACCAAAAAAATAGATTTTAATTAATTCATTTAATTAAAGTCTCTATGATGAGCCCTGAAAGTGCGTATTTAAACCCCTTTAACTTAGACATTCTAGTACCTTTATCTATTTTACTCTACCGTTTTAGATTGATTTCGTAATATTTCCATTTTCAGGCACTTATCCCGAAAATAAGCTAACTCAGCTAAATAAGAGCTTAATTGAAGCAATTATGGGATTAAACAAAGAAAAGAGCAAAGTGGAGAAAGAAAGAAGCAAATGAAGCTAAAGATGGGAAGCAGCAAAGTTCGATCGATCCAAATTCAAGGTTCGATTGATCGAACACTGATCGATCTCAGTACTTCAAGATAGATCCAAACCTTGATCTAAAGCAGAAAGTCCAAAGTTCGATTGATCCAACACCACCCTTCGATTGATCGAACATTTTTGTCCTTATTCAAATGATTGGTCTTATCTAGTTGTACCACCCTACCAACCACTTTTTTCCTTTTTTCAAAAATATCTTCAAAATATCTCGGATTTGTCTTTTCCCAAAAAGCTCAACCAGTTGGATCGATCCGACCTAAGTTCGATGGATCTCAGCCAAGTTCGATCGATCCAAGTCCAAGGTTCGATCGATCGAACTTCCTCCAGTGCGAAAAAGTTAAAATTCCAGCTCATTGAAAGTTGTCCTTTATCCAATCATTAGGGAATGTTCTTTGCATGACCCCAGCTCATTTTGTGTGTCACTTGACCTACCTATAAAAGGATATGATGCACTTTTTGAAAAAGATACAATTCTAGGGATTATTCTCAAAAGAGGCAAGCTTAGAGTTGGAGGAGGCTAGATACACCATTGGAGTTCTTCATCAACAAGGAGCAGATTTCTTCTATGGAGTTAGCCCTTGAGGGTTGGAGCAACATCACCATGAGTGGCTAGACATCCTCTTGGGGCTAGAGTTAGCCCCAAGCATGCTTTCTATATCTTAATCTTATGTATTATTGAGGGATTAGTGTTGTAATTGATATTTTGACACTTTGATATATATATATATCTTGATTGTTCAATGATATATGTGGTTAAATACTTTTAATTGATCATTTCATTCTATCCATATGTCTATGTATGTTAGAATAGATATTCATGTGCTTGTCTCTAGATTTAGTGTTATTGATGCATGTCTATGTGTATTGATACTATTAGAGATTGTCAAAACATAGTACTTAATGGAATGCTCTTGTGATTTTCTTGATGGTTCATACTTATTCCTTGATGGATTGTGCCTCTCCCCTAGTTTATTTTCATGCTAGTAGTGTAGATGTAGTGTAGTGTTAAATGGGAGGACAATCCATGCTTGTTCTTTGATGATCCAAGCTTTTGAATGCAAGTAGCATATGTCTCTAACCTTGTGTTATATTTGGATTGTGAGCTTAATGAAAGGA